GGCAGACGCCGCTAATATTAAACGACACGACAAAGAGTGCGTGCGAGAGAGACAGAAAATCAGTCTGAGCGTGACGTCACGCGCTGCGTAGCCACTAAAAATTGATTTCTTGCTTTTGGCTACAAAAATGATCCGATCTGATCCAGATTCGGCAACCGGATAGATATGGTCATTGTCTATGATTCTGCGTTTTTAGTTTACTCGATTTTGCAATATTGTGGATGCAACAGATTTTCGTCCTTTGTGTGGGCGGAAGGGGGTGGGGCGAAATTTTGAGATATACGTTTTATAGTGAGATCTAACAGGAGTGCGGATACCAAATTTGGTTACTCTAGCCTTAATAGTCTCTGAGATTTATGAATATCCCCAGATCTGCATCCTTTGCGGGGGCGGAAGGGGGTGTGGCGAAATTTTGAAACAAACTCGTCTCGGTCTGATATATTAGGAGTGTGGATACCAAATTTGGTTGCTCTAGCTTTTATAGTCTCTGAGATCTAGGCGCTAATGTTTTACTCTAAGCAAAGCCGCCTATGCTACGTGTGTGTTAGAGAGAGACAGGGCGAGAAAAAATGAAATTGTTTTCTTGATGCTGGCTATAATAATAATACGATCCAATTCAGATTCCGCAGTCTAAAAGATATCGTCATTCTCTACGATTCTGCGTTTTTGGTTTTCTCGTATCTTTAAAATTGTGGATGCCACAGATTTTCGCCCTTTGTGGGGGCGGAAGTGGGCGGGGCAAAGTTTTGAAATATTTTTGTAGCAGTGACATATCACAGAAGTCTGGATCCAAAACATCGTTGCTCTAGCTCTTATAGTCTTTGAGCATTAGGCGCTGAAGGGGACGGACAGACGGACAGACGGACAGACGGACAGACGGACGGACGGACGGACGGACAGACGGACAGACGGACAGACAGACATGGCTCAATCGACTCGGCTATTGATGCTGATCAAGAATATATATACTTTATGGGGTCGGAAACGATTCCTTCTGGACGTTACACACATCCACTTTTACCACAAATCTAATATACCCCAATACTCATTTTGAGTATCGGGTATAAAAACTTACAAGTGAACCAAAATAAAGTTAAAAACTACAACAAAACAAAACCCAATCAACACCAACAACATGGCGTTACCACCACTATCATTGAGCGAAATCCACTTGAACCAGGCACTGCTGTCGATCCGACAAATACCTGCCTATGACGGTTCATCTGGACAGCTAAGCTCATTTATCAAACGAATCGAATATGTATGCGGATTATATCCAACTGAAGATCTTCGCCAACAAAGGATCCTATTTGGAGCGACCGAGATCCAACTGTCAGGAGAGGCACAACGCATATCGCAAATGATACAACCCAACACGTGGCTCGAACTGAAGACGGCGCTGATCAACGAGTTCAAAAATCACACACCATATGAAGAACTCTTACGACAAGTATACACCACCAGATTCAACGGCAGTCTTCGTAAGTTTATAGAAGAATTAGAGATAAAAGCATTATTAATAAACAATAAGCTAAACTTAGAAAACATACCAGAAAATAATGTCATTTATAAAAACGCTTTGAACAACACAATTAAAGATGTCATTACTCGAAAACTTCCTGACAGAATGTTCATGACCTTAGCAAGAAAAGATATTACCACATTGTCTAATCTTAAGAAGGCAGCACAAGAAGAAGGATTGTACGAAGCTAGTACAACAGATTCAGGTACAAATAAAGATCAATCGAAATCGTCTCAATCAAATCGAAAGAATGTTGGAAACTATTATCCAAATTATAATACTACTAACTATCACAATCAAACTCAGAGTTCATCTGGAACAGGTCAGACTAATCGAACAAATCAAAATCAAAATTCCCAAAATCCTGGATTATACAATGAGTTCAAAAATTCCTTGAATCAAGGTAGGGCTCAGAATCCATTCAATCAGCAAATATCTCAAAACCAAGCTAGTGGGAGTGGACCCAACCAACCTACTAAAAGAGGGAGGGAGAGCCAGAGTGGCCAAACGAAGATGGACGTAAATTTTCATCAAGCCGCCTCGGAAGAAACCGAGGAGGACCCTATATAAACATTACCATTAATAAAAGAATATTAAGGTGTATCGCTGACTCGGGATCATCGATCAACATCATGAAAGAAAATTACACAGATTCCGAGATAAAAGACGATAACCTTACGGTCCATACCATCAATGGACCTGTCCGTTTAACTAAGAGTATAATGAGGAATGCGAACAAAACATGTCCGTCCGAACAAAAGTCCTACATACATAACTTTTCCGAAAATTATGATATTTTATTAGGAAGAGAATACTTGATGGCAAGTAAAGCCGTCATCGATTACAGAAATGACACTGTAACACTAGCAGCTAGGTCGTACCCAATCATTCAGAGTGGAGAAGCTATTGAAGCCGGCAAGACCGCACAGAAGTGCACTGATCCCTCTACAAAAGAAGAGAAGATCGCACCTAAGTGCCTTGACCCATCTCCAGAGGGAGATCAATACTTCGCTTCCGCTCTAGACAGTGAATTAAGGGAATGTAATCAATTAAGATTGGAACACTTAAACGACGAAGAGAGGGAAGAGTTAAAGAAGGTCTTATATGAGTTTAAGGATGTGCAGTACAGAGAAGGTGACAATTTGACTTTCACAAGTACAATCAAGCACGAGATCAAAACTCAACATGAAGACCCGGTCTACAGACGACCATACAAATATGCCCAGATACATGATCAGGAGGTAAACCAGCAAATCAAAGATATGATCAGGCAGGGAATAATTCGAAAGTCGAATTCTCCTTACTGCTCGCCCATATCTATGATTCCGAAGAAGATAGATGCTTCAGGAAAGCAAAAATATCGAATGGTAGTAGACTATAGAAGTCTAAATGAAATAACAGTTAAGGACAAATTCCCAACTCCAAGAATGGATGAAATCCTAGACAAACTAGGTAAATGTCAGTATTTTACGACAATCGATTTAGCAAAAGGTTTCCATCAAATACCCATGGAACCTAGCTCAATCCCCAAAACTGCGTTCTCCACTAAGCATTGACATTACGAGTTCACTCGTATGCCCTTTGGGCTAACCACTGCCCCAGCTACCTTCCAAAGATGTATGAACAATCTGCTAGAAGAGTTAATCTTCAAAGATTGCTTTGTATACTTAGATGACATCATTATATTTTCCACTTCATTGGAAGAACACTTGTTGTCACTAAGGAGAGTATTTGGAAAGTTGAGAGACGCCAACTTGAAGCTACAAATGGATAAATGTGAATTCATGAAAAAGGAAACTGAATTCCTAGGTCATGTAGTCACTACTGAAGGAATAGTACCAAATCCAGGCAAAATCTCTGCCATTGTCAAATTTCCAATACCAGAAACGACTAAACAAATAAAGTCATTCTTAGGTCTGTGCGGGTTCTACAGGAAATTCATTCCTAATTTTGCAAACATAGCAAATCCCATGACACTCAAACTAAAGAAAGGAGCTGTCATAGACCCCAAGGAAGAAAGGTACGTCGAGGCATTTGAGAGACTAAAAGTACTCATCACCTCAGACCCTATCCTTGCGTTCCCAGACTTTGACAAAATGTTCACGGTAACAACCGACGCTAGTAACATAGCATTGGGAGCGGTTTTGTCACAAGAACACAAACCGATCTGCTACGCTAGCAGAACCCTAAATGAACATGAAATAAACTATTCAGCCATCGAAAAGGAATTATTAGCGATCGTATGGGCAACCAAGTATTTCCGTTCATACCTGTTCGGTAGAACATTCGAGATACAAAGCGATCATAAACCCTTGATTTGGTTGAACAACCTCAAGGAGCCAAATATGAAATTACAAAGGTGGAAAATAAAACTGAATGAGTTTGATTTTAAAATGAAATGTCTACCAGGCAAAGAAAATCATGTAGCTGATGCCTTATCAAGGGTAAAGATTAATGAAAATCTCCTGGGAGAAGCTTCCAATAGCGTTGGTGCAACTGTACATAGCGCACAGGAAGACAATCTAAATCACATTGCTATCACGGAAAGACCAATTAACTATTACAATCGGCAAATTGAGCTAATAAAAGGCAATGAAGATAAGGTAGAAACAATTCGTTATTTTCACAAGCTAATCATCAAGATCACGTATAAGGAAATGACTAACACCTTAGCGAAGGATATAATAAAGGAATATCTATGCACCAAAAAGAGCGCATTATATTTCCATAACGAAATAGATTTTCCTCCATTCCAAAAAGCCTATTTAGAAATCATTAATTCTAACAATATAACCAAAGCTATTAAATCAAGCACGAAACTCCTAGATATTTAGAATTACGCTGAATTTAAAGAAACCATATTAAAGAATCATAAGGGCTTACTCCATCCATGGATAGAGAAAACCGTCAATTGGTTTAGGGGAAAATACTATTACCCGGATTATCATAAACTAATCCAAAACATCATAAACGAATGTCCTACTTGTAATATTGCCAAAACAGAGCATAGAAATACGAAGTTGGCATTCGAAACTACACCGGAAATACTGAACTAACCAACAGTCTGCCACTCTTGTAGAAGTAAAAAGTCGTGACTGGTTAGAAGCAAAAAGAGCCATCATGAAAGTTTTTAACGAGATGTTCAAACCAATTGAAATCAAAGCCGATAAAGATTCAGCTTTTATGTGCACAGCATTGCAAGCATGGCTGAATGCGGAAAACGTCAAAATAGAGATCACTTCCAGCAAAAATGGAATATCTGACGTAGAAAGATTTCATAAAACAGTAAATGAAAAATTAAGAATAATATCTAGCGAGGATAACCCAGAAGATAGATTCACGAAGTTTGAATTAATTCTTTATACTTATAATCATAAAACCAAACATAATACCACAAATAGGACACCAGCTGATATATTCATTTTTTGCAGTTGAAGGATTTTATAAAATTTCCCACAGGTTTGTTTTGTTTTTTGTTTTAAACAATATTAAAAGGTACAATTTTACTAGGAACGGAAAAGAGAGAGTGCCGCACACACATACAAATTGCACATCCATTATTTATAATAGCTACAAGATATGGCCATGGTGGCTTCACTCTCGTTTCCTGCGATCACCTATCTAGTATCGAAGATGCGGCTGCTCTTGATATCTACATTAAACTGTCTCGACCATTCAGCCAGTACATCGAACTCACGCTCCATAATGTTTTCGCAAAAACTCAGATCCAACAGCTGAAGCTTGGGGCAATGAACCAGAATGTCGTAAATACGTTCGTGCGTTATATTCAGTATCCCCATGAGATCCAATTGCTCCAGGTTTTTGCCCAGCGTGGCAATGTGTATGAGATCCCGCTCAGTGGTGCCCCGCACTGCCGACAGAAATAGCTTCCTCAGCTTGGGACAGTTGGACAGCAACTGAAACAAGCCATCTCCCAGCGATGCCTCACGCAGGCACCAGCCCAGATCGAGCTCCTCCAACTGAGAACACCGAGATATGGCTAAAAGTCCTCGAGCCGACAGAAAGTGCGCCTTCCACAGATCCAGCGATACAAGCTGTGTGTTGTACATGGCCAGGTGATCGGCCACATCGTCCATATTCACCGACACACCGCAGAAGGCTAGATTCAGATGCTTAAGCTTGCGATTGCCCTCGAGCATGCTGAGCAGCAGCTCTGTATCGAAGGCCGTTTGGAAGAGATCAAGACGCTCCAGGTTCTTAAGATTTGCCAGACAGGAGAAGTTCAGTAGCGGCGGATCAGTGGCACAATTACGCAGGCTCAACTCAATCAGATTATCACAGACTATGCCCACATTCTCAATGCAGCTGGCGTTTAGAAATTTACAAGAGTTTAGCCGCAGGTGGGTAAGATTATCGCCTCGCTGGGTCAGAAATTTTTTGAATACGGTGGGTGAAATTTCGTTGGAGCCACCACACCAGGAGAGATCCAGTTTGCGCAGCATGGTGGCCCGGCGGGCCAGAGTGCACAGGAGCTCCGAGCTGGCCACCAGCCAATAGGGCTTCCGGTTGAGCTCGGCGTAGAGCAGCGGATGCGTAGAGATGTCGTAGAAGGTGCGCGACACGCCCCCCACGCGAAACAGTGACTTAAGGTCCAGGTAGCTGAGTATTTTCAAGATGATCTCAAACGGCAGATCCGTCACACACATGCCAGGCGGCACTGCCTCTGCGGCTGAGGCAGAGACTGAGGCCAGAGGATCCTCGAGGCGGTTGTCCATCATAAATTTGCCAAGATCATTGCTGATGAATTCGTGCAGGCTGGTGTCACTTTTCTCCCTGAAGTTCGGCTTGAATTCCAGTGACCGCAGCTTGCAGGTGATGGATATGCAGGCTCACCTGATTATGCCACGCAACTAAATAAAGTGAATAAAATCACTCAATTAAATAAAAACCGCATAGAGTATGAAGTAGATACCCGCTATAAACTATCACCTCTAGTTAAGTCTAAGGTAACAAATCCTTTCAAAAGGACGGCCGAAATTAGACAGGTAGACGAAAAACATTATGAAGAAAAGAATAGGGGTAGGAAAATAACTCATTATAAATCAAAATTCAAGAAAAAGAAGAAATCTAATAGAAGCAAATATAATAATTCCAGAGAAACCGAGGAAGTTAATGGAATCGGCGAACTTCAACACAATTAAAATCCCCATCTTCCTCATAATTACCATCGTAATGGCACAGGGCCAAAACATAGAAATAAATTCTATAAAATCCCAAAACGGATATATGATATTCAAAACTGGATCGATCAACATACCTATCAATTACGAATACCATTATCTAACTGTTAATGTAACTAAAACCGAAGAACTATACCAAAATTTGTTAAGGCAAGCCACTAAATTCCAGGACATAATCCAAATAAAATATCTAGTAGACAAATTGCAAAAAGAAATAAAAGAGGCCTAATCAATATAGTAGGAACAGCCTACAAATATCTCTTTGGAACACTAGATCAGGAAGATAAAGTCGATTTGGAACAAAAAATAGAAAATTTAGCCAGCCATAGCATTCAAATGAATGAACTAAATTTGGTAATAGATGCAGTTAATAGCGGAATAAACGTTATAAACAAACTAAATGAAGAAAAAGACAGGAATCAACAAATAGAAATTTTGATATTCAATCTACAACATTTCACAGAATATATCGAAGATATAGAACTAGGTATGCAATTAACTAGGCTCGGTATATTTAATCCAAAATTATTAAAACAAGACTACCTGGAACAAATAAATTCTGAGAAAATACTAAATATAAAAACCTCCACATGGCTAAAATCCGATACCAACGAAATTCTAATAATTTCCAACATTCCCAAAGACATTACAAAAGTACCAATCTATAAAATCGTTCCGTATCCAGACGAATTAAATAACATGTTAACAGATATGACATACGACAAGTACTACATAAAAAATGAAGAAGTATTTGTTAAAGAAACTAGATTGAAAACCAATGACAATTGTATAAAAGGAATTTTAATGCAAACTCCCACTAAATGTCCATATTCCAAAACTTTTCAAAACTTTCAAATAAACTTTATTGAACCCAATATACTAATCACGTGGAATCTTCCAAAAACAACGCTAAATCAGAATTGTGTAAACCAAGAAATCATAGCGGAAGGAAATACCATTATAAAAATCTACAACTGTTCAATCCAATTAAATGAATTTACAATATCAAACACAATGTTAGATTTTGCCCAGAATGTTTATGTCAACAACAACATAACTAAAATAAAACCACTGTCGTATGTCCAAACTAATGAAATAATTATGCAATACACCACATATAGTAACCTATTACAAATAAGTCTACTAATTTCATTTGTCATAATTATATTAGTACTACTAAGTTATGTAGCTGTTAAATTTACGAAAACTTCTAAAAGAGTCACGGTTAAATGTATAAACCCTATAATAGAAGCAGAAGAGGAACCAACCTCAGCCACCGCACTTGACACCCCGTCACTATACCCGAGGGTAATCGCCTAGGGACAGGCTAATAACAAACGTTGGGGGAGTGACATATCCATAATTCCCCACATCCCATACACATTATGTTTTTGTACAATTCATCCACCCCATCCACACAAGTAACAGGACCCCACTCAAGAATCAATAACTGTTTCTTCCCATACTCCAAGCTAGGGCCCCCCATAATATAAACAATGGACCACATTGTTTCAGCAACATTAGAATCACGCCACTCTCGAGAAATCGATTCTTTAGAATCACGCCACTCATGAGGACCAATCAAAGCTAGACATAAAACCAAGGAGTATCACATTCCTAGCTCCGTCATGTAATGCAACACCGATCGCCAGCAGTGGATGCCTTTCATCAAAGCCGACGCATCCCCAAATATCGATCCAGGCACGTACGCCACCGACACGAAGATGCAGCCGAGGAAAGCAACGCCCGAAGCCAGAGTCGGGAGTTCCAAGAGAAGGGCTCATGGAAACTAGCCAGCAGCAGAGAGATCAGTTCCGTTTGAGACAAGCAGACCGAAAGTCAAGTCGGGGAATTCATTTAAATCTTGTGACATAAAGATATTTAAGTTGTAAAATAAAAGTCTTTGTTAAAAAACTTAAAATCGAGTTGCGGATATTTAACTATATGTATTAATATATATGCTCAACTCTAACTAAAGCATGCAATCTAGCTCTACTATGTCATACGTATGTGCCAAGAATTGAAAGCGAAGTGCAATTGTTTCAGCACAAGACAATAATTGCGAGTTTTTTAATCTTTCGTCTTCACTCGAGCTTTCAATTTTTTGCACAAATACCTCTTGGGAAGATAGGAAATTCCAGGTGCTGTACTCTCCTCTTGTATATGTAGCTGCAGACAGGGTATTGCACGACCGACGCGGTGATTTTTAGTTTGGTTTGTTTAATTATTGCACACACGTCGCGGTCACTTTGGCAATTTAGCTGCAGAACATATGCATGTACATACATGTATGTAGTATGTACAATAGATTTTGGCTATTTATGTATGTATCTTCACTGTGTCACTGTCACTTTTTGCCTTTCCACTTGAATTAATATATACGTTTAAATTGCGAGTCCACCCGGGGGCGCCATGAAATTTTAGAACAGTTTTTCTAAATAACAATACCGAAAGTTCTTGGGTGACTGCAATTTTTTATTTAATACGACGAAAAGAAAAGGGGTGCGTGCGTTCGATTTCAAGGGTTTTTCTCGACTTCTTTTCAATATATTCCAACAATTTCTTCTAAGCCTACCTTACCTACGGTGGCAAAGCGGGGCGAATTCGCCAAGAGCGAGAGAACGAGCTTTTATTGCGCTCCCGCTTTGCCCTAGCCTAACTTACACTAGACTTCATGAAATACTATCCTAATAACAATTATTAATATTCAAATGACGCTACAATGTATATTTTCTTTCTCCACTGGTCCAGATATGGTGGATTCTCTTTGCGTTCCTCTCTTAAAACTGTTCAACCTCTCTCTTGGGCTTGGTGATTATCCCACCGTCTAAAAATAATCTTACATAATTCCCATTCATAAAAAGGGGTCAAAAAGAGGTATCTCCCATTCATCTGCCATCCCTTAGGTTAAGGTTAAGGCGGTAGCCGGGAAGGGGAAATAAAAATACCGCCCCCGCCATCCCTAAACTCTTCGAAAAAATTACTACTTCTCAGCCTCTACACTCATGTGATGTTTTCAGAATCACCGCACGGATTTGTAAAAAGTCCCTCCGTTTCGTCTAACCTCCTTGAATTTTCCTCCTTCGTAACTGCCGGATTTGCAAAGCAATGTCAAACTGACGTAGTTTATACTGATTTTAGTAAAGCTTTCGATTCAGTTAATCACAATCTCCTCATCCACAAACTATCTCTACTAGGATTTCCGACTAAACTTCTTCTCTGGACTAATGCGCACTTTGCAATCGTTCTCAGCGTTTCTGCTTCCAATCTTCTCTTTCTTTCTTTGTCTCTTCCAATCTTCTCTTTCTTTCTTTGTCTCTTGGGGTGTGCCTCAAGATAACCTCTTTATTAATGATCTTCCCCAAGTTTTAACTCATTCCTGAGTCCTAATGTATGCTGATGATGTTCAGCAATTTTTTTCCTATAGCGATCCTGTTTCCCCGTTATTCCTTCAATCGGATCTCGACGCTCTCAACAATTGGAGTATAATTAACGCGCTTCCTCTTAAAATTTCCAAATGTAACGTCATGACCTTTCATCGTAACAAGCCTTACCTATTTGACTTTTCAATTAATAACTTTCCCTTAGAACGCCTGTACAAAATTGATGACATGGGTATTATCTTTGTACCTAAGCTATGTGTTAATTCTCATATGTCTTCTGATTCGAATAAGGTCAAAAAAGTCCAAGGCTTCATCAAAAGATGGTCTAATGATTTTTCTGACCCCTATACCACCAAACTACTCTAAGTTTCTGTTGCCCGACCTATCTTAGAATATGGATCCTGTATCTGGTCTCCTCATTACCAAAACTATCAAGATATGCGTGAGTCCGTTCAAAAACCATTCCTTATCTTTTCCCTGCGCGATCTTAATTGGGACCCTTCTCGTCATCTTCCTTCTTATGAGAGTCATCCGCTTCTTATTAGCTTGTACTCTCTTGAAAGCGGTAGGACTTGTCATGGAATTCTCTTCCTCCATAAAATTCTCCTAGGCGAGGTTGAATCCTTGGCCCTCATTAGACTTAACAGTATTTCTGTCCCATCCCCTTTCCGTAGACGGATTTGTTATAATCGGTAGCCAATTCGAACAAAAGACAGATTTCGGGTGGACAGTGTCAAGATGTACGAAGTCTATGGTAAAAAAGAAAATGGTGGCAAAACCTGTTAAAGGTAAAGCGTTAGAAAGATTTTGGGAGTTAGAGGAAAAAGAAAGAGATGGCACAGAAGCAAGATTCTGCGAGTAGAGGAGAGGTACGTGGTGCCAATACTGCTGAAAGTGAAAAAATAACGAGGGGGAACGTTGTGAGTTGCTGCGGACACCGCAACTCTACAGTTATACCCGATACTAAGTCAGTATGGATCTCCTCCGGCAGACGCCGCTAATATTAAACGACACGACAAAGAGTGCGTGCGAGAGAGACAGAAAATCAGTCTGAGCGTGACGTCGGGCGCTGCGTAGCCACTGCAAATTGATTTGTTGCTTTTGGCTATACAAATTATCCGATCTGATCTAGATTCCTCAACCGGATAGAAATGGTCATTCTCTATGATTCTGCGTTTTTAGTTTTCTCGAATCTGCAAGATTGTGGATGCAACAGATTTTCGTCCTTTGTGAAAGCGGCAGGGGAAGGGGCGAAATTTT